TTAAAACATATTTCACTGAGTTCAATCCATGTTTACAAAATATCTTGTGAGGATAAGCTCAGGAGTGGGAACAAAGTGAGTCTCTAGGTCAAGAGGTAAGGTAAGCCCATGCTTACAACACTGAGAGACCCCAACAAGATGGTAAGAGGTGTGAGAGTGGTTTGCTCTTGGTGCAGAGGTCATCAGTGATGGCTCAATCACCAGTCACTGTTGGTAGGGCAGTTACAAGGGGCTCAGCCTGGGGAGGTATCATTGGCAGAGATGGGGCAAGTGTGGCTTTGGTCAGTCATGTCCTGTTCAGAAAGCAGTCCCTTAATTTCCCTTAATTCCTTCTTATTTCTGACGGGAAAGGCAGAATGAGTGCTGTGGATGTTCAAGTACATATATATATTCTTTTCTTTAGTAAATATGTAGAAGTCAGTTTGTGGTTCCTGTGGTAAGTACATGTCTTACTTATAAAAAACTAACACACTTCTCTCAAAGTGGCATTGTGTTTCCTCATTCCCACCATCAAAACCTGAGAGCTGAGCCTGCTAAGATTTACATTTCTTGTCTACCTTTCTAATTTTAGCCAGTCTTGGGTGTGAAATGGTATTTCATATCCATTCTAGTTTGCATTTCCCTAATGCCTAATGACATTGACCATTTCTTTTGTATTTTTAAATCTATATATTTGCTTTGATGAACTGCTTAGGTTTTTTCTCTGTTTCTTAATCGAGATGTTTACCATTTGGATATTATGAATTCTTTGCACATTCAGGTGCAGCCTACTAGCATCTATTTGAGTTTACAAATATTATTTTCCAATTCTATGTTTTTCCCTATTTCTTCTTTCAAAAAGTAGAAAATTTTAATTCTTTTGTTATCCAGCATCTGAATTATTTTATTTTTAAAAATATTTCTGTTTAGTGAAATTCTGTATTGATTCTGTTTATTATTATTTTTGTATTTTATTTAAAAATTGAAAGAAATTTTAAATTCTGTCAAACATAATTTATCATTTTTTAACAATTCAGTTTTTACAATTTATAGAACAGAATACTTCATTCCGGTGGTGACAAATGTTTTTTCCTGTGTTTTCTTTTTGATATTTTGTGTTTGGCTTTTGCATTTAGAACTGTAATCTATTGGAGTTAATTTCGACATATGTAAGGCACTAGGCAAGGAACAACCTCTTGTATCATAAATCTTGCTTTTCCAGCACCGCTTTTTGAAAAGAGTGCTCCCCTGGCACTGAGCCACCATGGCCCCGAACCGAAGGCCACTGATCCTCAGCGTGCGGCTCCGTCCCGAGCTCTGTCCCGCCCACACCCATGTCCACCATTCCCTTCTACGTCACACCGCCACCGCCATGGATCTTGCTTCGGTGTGCAGAAGTCAGGCTGTGTGAGGCCCCCAACTGGGTCTCTTTTTCAAGATTAATTTAACTGTTTGAAATTCCTTGAATTTCTTTCTTTCTTTTTCCCCCCCTTGTATTTCTATGTATTTTTTAGAACTAATTGGTCAATATCTATATAAAAAACTGCTATAATTTTGATTTTTTTCACCTTGTACCTATAGATCAATTTGGGGAGAATTAACATCTGAATATCAAATCATTTAACCCTCAGCATTGTATCTCTCTCCCTAAATGTAGGTCTCATTTAGTTTCTTTTTAAAAGCATTAAAAAAATCATTTATTTATTTATTTATTTATTTGGTACAGGGTCTCACTATGTAGTTTGACTCACAGTGAACCTCCTGTCTCAGCTTCCCCACTGCAGGGATTTTGCCTCTTGTCTCAGCCTCCCCAGTGCTGGGATTACAGGCATATGCCACCACACCTGGTTTTGGTTGCCTGCATGGCATGCCCCGGGTAGGACCAGCACAGCATGCAGTACCGGGCATCAAGCCGGGGTCCTTGAGCTTACCAGGCAAGGGTTTAGGCTGCCAAGCTATCCTCCAGTCCTCACTTAGTTTCTTTCAATGATGTTTTCTAGTTTGCAGCACATGAATCTTATTTAAATGTTCTTGGGTGTATCCATTTAAAAAGCATTCCATGTTCTTGGAAGCCGTCCTGTCTGTGTGTCTGTCTGACTACATATCATCTACATATATTTTAAACCTAAATTGTGTTGCTAGAGAATAGAATTATAACCAATTTATTCATATGATAATGTCTAATCAGATTTTAATTGCCATCAGTGCATTTCTCAGTTTATGTATTCACATTTTTTCTGTAGAAGCCTTATTTTAGTCTTTTTATACCTCTCATTACTTTTTCACCACGTTTATGCTTTGCTCAAGGTTTTAAAATGTGTGCACTATACTTATAGTGGCTATTCAAAACCTTTTCTGTTAATTATATTGTCTCTGTCAGTCCTCTGTTTCTGTAGTTATGGGCCATAGTTTCCCATTTCTACCAATGTTCAGAAATTTCTGGTTGTTTGATTTCTTTATTTTATCTTTAAAAAGTTTTCATTTTGTTTGTTTTGCTGTTTGAGACACGGACACACGAGGTAGTCTAGGCTGCTCTTGAGCTCACTATGTAACCTAGGCCAGCCTCAAGCTTGGGACAACACTGTCTCTGCCTCTAATGCTGGGATTATAGGCATGCACCATGACACCCAGCTGGTTGCCTGATATGAATTTTAAATTTATGTAAATTTCCCTTATATGAATTTATTTCTTTACATGCTTTTGGGCTTGTTGGCAAACACGTTATATTCCTGGAATCAGGTGAATCTCTTGAGATTTTCTTACAAGCGCCTACTCCGCTCAGAGCACGTTCAGGGTAGAGCTGTGTCAGTCCACACGCCTGTGGTGCATCTTCTCAGAACGCTGTCCTGCCCTCTGTGAGGGACAGCACTGCTACTCATGCTGCGGGGGGACAGCTGGTGCGGCCTGGGGAGCTGGAGCCTCTGCCCACTCCTTTCTGGAGTTCTTCCTCCAGCCTCGACTCACTTCCTCTGGTGGAAAAGCCTCTGCTGTTCTAACTTCTTGCCCACGCCTCCTTCCCTGCCTTTGCTCAGGAAGGCTGCATGCTCCTGGAGGCCCCCAGCCCACTCTGCAGTGTGTCAGGACTTCAGAGCTCATCCTCGCTCTCGTCCTTTGTTCTCCAGGCCTGAAGCACCCATTGCATGAGCTCTGACAGCAGGCACTGCACCTTGACTGGTGCGAGGTGGAAGGGCACAGTGGGGCCTCGCAGGCCCACACTGCCTGCATGCTGTGTGCTTGTAGTTGTGCTTCGATGCCAAGTTTCATCTGATAATCTTGCTGATGCAACTGTCTCCTCTGTGCTCTGCTTCTGCATGCTCTAAAGCATTCAAACTGTCACCTACAGGCACCTGCAAAGTGCTGAGGTGACTCTATTCCTCCTTCCAGTCATGCCCAAGGCAGAGGCCAAAAGGCAGCAAAAACCCATCTCTGATGTGTGACTGTAGGTATCCATGAAGAAATGGGCTTGGTAAACACAAGACGAGAACCAGTAGCTATAAGAAACATGCTCAGAATGTCTCTCAGGGTGAGCTCGTGCTATGCGGACTTCCTCCCTGAGTGTGGGTACACAACTGGTGGGGCAGTATGGTGGTGCCGCAGCTGTCCCTGAGGCTGTGCTTCCACTCTCACTCCTTCTCGCCTCCCCAGGCGCCCTCAGCAAGAGCCAGGCCTAATGAGTGGCTGGAAAGCAACTTAACACAGTGGTAAACAGTTACAGGAATGGATTTTACTGGAAGGAAGGGGCAAGCAGGAAGATGAGCAGCAAAACCAGCAGTGGTTAGAGTAGTAAAAAGATCTATATCCTATTTGACTTGTTGGGATTTCTTTCCTTCCTTCCTTCCTTCCTTCCTTCCTTCCTTCCTTCCTTCCTTCCTTTTCTCGGAAAAGGACAGGACCAAGACATGGAGGTAGGATTAAAGAAGAGGAGAAGGGGATAAAAAAGGAAATAAGGTATTCTACCTACATTTGCTAACTTTCACAATGAATGCAATCATTATATATTGCAAAGATGTACTAATAAAAATGAGGGGATTGGTAGATTTCAAAATCTTTCCCATCCAGGTCCTCTTCGTCTTGTAGCTGCACTCTATACATGGCCTCAGTCCCGCTGGCATCCTTAGCATGTTACATGCCTTTAAAGACTGAGTAAACATCTAGTTGGTTCCTCCAGCCTGATGGTGCTCCTGTCTCACAAATCCTCCCTGTTCTCCCTCTGGGCTCCTCCGCTTGGGCTATGGTTGATATCATCACTGGGGGATCATTTCCTCACAGGCCATCTGCCCACTGGGGCCCCAGGGAAGTACCTCCTCCTCCTCACCCCAGCTTTCCTATCGACCAGCCTCAGCCTCCTTTCCTGCCCCCAGGTCACTGCCTGTGTCAACGCACAGCACATCAACACTTGTCGACTGGTATTGTTAGGCCTGTTAAGAAATATCCCGTACCTGCCCACTCAGTCCAAGCCAAGGGACTTCTGGCATCTTGACTAAGAGCTCACATTCAAACCTTAAGCAACTCACTTGAGCATAAGAGTGAAAAATCACTATGTCCAGAACTATAAATCTGAAATCCTGTACACATCCATATTTCTCTAGATTTTGTTCAGTAGAATTCCATTATATGTAATTAAATGGAAGTTTGTATGAAGATTTTTCACTGGTCAAAACCCGAGGTTTTTCTGGGTATGGCCCTTCTGTTGAACCATAGGTCAAAGATTGGTGGAAGCCCAGCGCACGGCCAACCACACACTGTCAGTCCTACTCACTCGTGCAGGGTGGATAGCTGCCTCCGCACTGCCAAGGTAGACTGACGCTGTTGTGACAGATATCATGGGCCCACCCAGCCTGCAGGCTGGAGCCTGTCCTGAGTAGGTACTGCTATGTTAGAGCGCGGGTTCTTCACCACGCTCCGCTGGGATAGAGTGCTGCATCTCACTTGCCGGCTCTGCCAATCTCAGTGCATTTGTTTTCCTTCCCTAGCTAACGCCCCCTCTACTGGCACTGCTGCTGGTGAGCTGGCCCCAGGAACCAGCGACTCCCTTTCTCTGCCAAGCCTGCATCTTCAGCTCAGAGCAAGGATCACCATGGGTGCTGAGGTGAGACCACTTTCTTCCTTGCAGGAAGTATAATTTCAGTTAATGGTGGCTCCGTGGATATTACACGACCGCTAACTCCATTTTTTTATTTCCCAGCTACCAATGAATTCCAGCAATAGCGAGTATTCCATGGATTACACTGAGTCAGTGAGTGGCATGTACTATACACCTGAGGAGAGTGACTTACTGTGCTTCCAGGAGGAGGTCAGGCAGTTCTCCAGGAAGTTTGTGCCGATCGCATACTCTCTGATCTGTGTCTTTGGCCTCCTGGGTAATATTCTTGTGGTGATCACTTTTGCCTTTTATAAAAAGGCCAGGTCTATGACGGACGTTTACCTCTTGAATATGGCCATTGCAGATATACTTTTTGTCCTCACCCTGCCATTCTGGGCAGTGACTCATGCCACCAGAGAGTGGACTTTCAGCAATGCTTTGTGCAAGCTGATGAAAGGCATCTATGCTGTCAACTTCAACTGTGGTATGCTGCTCTTGGCCTGTATCAGCGTGGACCGGTACATTGCCATTGTACAGGCAACCAAATCTTTCTGGTTTCGATCCAGGACTCTGGCACACAGCAGAATAATCTGCCTTGTGGTGTGGGTGTTGTCGCTGGTCATCTCCAGCCCAACATTTGTCTTCAACCAGAAATATAATATGCAAGACAGCAATGTCTATGTCTGTGAGCCCAAGTATGGCCAAGAATCAGACCCTATCATGTGGAAGCTGCTGGTGCTGGTGCTGCAGCTGCTGTTCGGATTCTTTGTCCCGCTGGTGTTAATGGTGTTCTGCTACATGTTCATTGTCAAGACCTTAGTGCAGGCTCAGAATTCTAAAAGGCACAGAGCCATCCGTGTGGTGATCGCGGTGGTCCTTGTCTTCTTGGCTTGCCAGATTCCTCATAACACAATGCTTCTGATGACTGCTGCAAACCTGGGCAGAGTGAACCGATCTTGTGCCAATGAAAAGCTCATGGGATACATCAAAAATGTCACGGAAGTCCTGGCCTTCCTCCACTGCTGCCTGAACCCTGTGCTCTACGCATTTATTGGTCAGAGGTTCAGGAACTACTTCCTGAAGATAATGAAGGACATGTGGTGTGTGAGAAGAAAGCACAAGGTGCTGAGCCTCCCGTGTGCCAGGGTGAACTCAGAAGCCTTTGTTTCCAGGCAGACCACTGAGATCATAGGCAATGACAATGCATCATCTTTCACTATGTGATGAAGACGAGCAGGCTAAATGTCCTGAGAGGCTTTGTGAAACTTATTAATTGAAGAGTAAGATCCACACATATGCACACGGACACATAGACCTCCATGGCCAAATATGCAAATGTGGAAATTGGACCAAATGAGGAAGCGTCTCTCTCTCTCAGATCAGGGACTTCCTGTGCTCAGCCATGAAAATCTCCGCAGTGGGTGGTGGGAGGTGGGAGGTGGGTGGGTTCTGAAAGCAGTTTTCCACAAATCTGCTTGAGAAGAAACAGTGGTTCTAGAGCCTCACAGGGCTGCCTTCCCCAAAGCAGGTTGTGGGAAATGTTAAATTGAAACTAATATTTATGTGTATGAGAGAGTTTAGAAACATTTGTGATGCAGTCATAGACTACAAATCTCTTGGTTATAGGAGAAAACTTTTTTTTTTTTTTTTTTTTAATGGTGCCAGGGATGGAACTCAGGACCTTGCGCTTGCCGAACAGGAGCTTATGCCGCTGAGCTATATCCCCAGCCCCAAGAAGACACATTTTTTTAAAAATACCCAGAAGCCCTCTTGTAACTCATTTTAGGGAAATTCTTAAACATTTTGCTATCGAGTGTTTCCTGCTGGTGACGGTAAGCAGCGGTAATTGCCATTTCACTTCCTTCTGGTGCACTCAGCAAGCACTGGGTTGTTGGGGGGCAGAGACAGAGAAGTTTCAATGGCCTCCAGTTGGAAAAGCAAGCAGGGCACAAGTGTCAGTGACACCTGTCCCCAGGGGTGGCCTGCTGGCTCTTGTCCCCCTGTGATTAGACTTTCCTGTAACTGCCCTGAGGCAGACTCTGCTGTGGTCCTGTTGCTCGCTGGCTTCCCAACCCTGGTGGAGCTCTTAGCCACAGGAGGGGTCAGGAGATGTTCTTTCAGTATGTCATAATGAAACTGGAGCTTATTATGCAGTTTGAAGGGCTATATATTTTTAAATAGAGTAATTTATTGAGAAGCTGAAGGAAACGTTACTGAGACAATGCAGAAAGTACTTTTTACTGTTTCGGTGCTGGGCTTAAAGAAGGATGTGTGGCAGATGAGTCTGTATATAAAGAATTAAGGACTAGCTGGTGTGCAGCCAGAAACACAGCAACCTCCATGATGGACTTTAATGTGAGTTTGCCCCAAATCTGAGGCTAGCAGTGGAATCCAATTAAACAATTCTCATCAACTTTGCAAGTGCTTAGAATTCTAGTTTTTAAAGTGCTATCGTGTACAAATATATGAATATAAGTGTAAAATATCAACTGCATTACAAAAATACAAACATGCATTAGAAAAGTACTGACATGGATTAGAAAAATACTGACATGTTTAATTCTGACAAAAGTGGTATCTGAAACTTGACAGGGTTCTTGTAAGCTTTACCTCTCTGTGAAATGCAGAATGATGTCTTCAGATACAAAGTTTATGTTTTAAAGCATTACTTGGCTTTGCAAAATAAAATGGCGTGCTTACATGAAGCAGGGCTCGTCTCCTAGCTTCAGGGTTGAGCCAGAGGAGCCCACTGCCCGGCCAGTGTGGTACTTGGGGTGGCTCGTGCCCATCAAATGTGTTAATGTTCAGTTCCACAAATCAAAGCAGAGGGTTCAATCAAGGCCCTGATGGCAGGTTCTGCAAAGATAATGCTCCGGGCATCTAAGTCAGGTAAAATGTTACAGGCTCTCAGATAGTGCTAGGCGCCCAAAGGAGCTGGTGCAGAGGACGAGACAGCTTACAACCATGAGAGACAGACACCTCCCCGTGGGCCAGACCTCAAGATGCAAGATAAAACAAACGCACCCACATACTTCCCAAGGATAAACACTGGGGCTGATAATCTAAATAAGTCTCTCTCACCTTGAGAAAGCCAAGGAGAGCCACTAGCCCAACCCCCTACAAGGAAAGCCTGCATTCTGAATTCGTGTATGTTGCTACATAACTTGCTTTTCCATTCGATCCTGATTTGATCCATCTTACCTGAGCATTTAGACACATAAGCTTATTGGTTGATCATAGTTTTGTCCCACCTCATGTCCACCTTGAGATTTCCCATTTTTCCTACTTTGGACCCACTTCGATTCATGGATTTGCTCTATAGAAACCCTTAGGGAAGGCAAGGCTCCTGGCAATTCACTTGGGACCTCTTCTGTCTCTTTTGGACAGAATCTTCCTTTCTCCTAACAAATATATTCAGCTCCTAACCTCCCTGGTTCCAAAGACTCATTCTTCAATTTTAGAGGACATAAGCTTGCACCAGACACCTAGCAGGTTGGGAGCGTTCTTGCTCCTCTCTGACAGCAGGCTCAGCAAAGCCTTGCCTGTTTGGCTTGATGGGAGTAAGCTCTTCTGTGTAGATGTGATTTCCACATAAATGAAGCCAGCTTCTTTAAACAATATCCATTAAGCCCTGTGGATAGAGTTACAAGCATGTTTCTTAAGTGTACCACACACTGTACCTCTTAAGCCAGCAGGTTTTCCTTTCTGTCTCTAGCCTCTGAGTTGGCTTAGGGCAGCCCCCTCATGCTCAGGTGCTGTGATTGCTGAGGTGGACGGGGTGCACTGCAACCACTTGGAGTGGCTCTTGGTGGCTCTCTAATGAGCCTCATGCCTTTCCTGCAGGCTGCAGAGCAGCTCCTCCCTGTCAGGCTCTGTGGCCTCGTCTGTCTGCACTTCAGTGTCTGCCTCAGGACCCTGTCTCCTGCAATAGTGGTATTTGGGTCCTCAGCGCCCTGCATCTTGCAGGAATTTGGGTTACTTGGGGATTTGTTCAAAATTTGAGGATACACATTTAAGATTTGTATGTTTCACTGTGTATATTTTTCATTAAAATATAGAAATAAAAAGAATCACATAGTCTATGTGAATACAAATACGCGCTTACAGTATGCTAGCATGATAGCTCTTCAGAGGCACCGTCGTACGTACCATGGACTGGGTGTTTAAACGGCAGACAGCTGTTTCCCACAGTCCTGGAGGCTGGGGGTGCAAGGGCAGAGTGTCCAGGGCAGGGCTTTCCTGAGGTCTGCAGATGGCACCTCCTGTATGAGTCTCCACATGACCTTTTCTCTGGGAGCATGACTTCTTATGAGGACACCAATCATATTGGGGCTCGGTGTAGTCCTTTCTGAGATATGGAAGGATGGCGTTAACCTGAGAATCTGGAGGAGACAAATCGGCTTGCGCAGATGATCTTCTGCAAACAGAGCAACTTTGCATATAAAGGTTAATTGTAAGTGTGGAAGAATTTATTTCTATATAATAGCTATTAGTTGCCTCCTTTCTTACAGGTTGCACTCTGAGTATTTATCCCATTCAGTTTCTTAGATGCATGTGCCCCCCAAAGCGGTGACAAAGGATGGGGGTCCCTCAGGAGACCTCTTCAAGCCCATAGGCCTGAAGCCTGACTCCCACCACCTTCTCTAAGGTCTCCAAGCTCCGACTCCTACACCAGCTCTTCCCTGCCTAGACAGCATGGTTCCTGGACTCTTGGCCACTCCTCTCACCATGTTTCCTGAAGGGCCAGAATTCCCCAGCCCTGGGTTGCTTTCATCTCCAGTGTGGAGACGTTCCTTTCCTTCCACGGCAGCAGATAGCAGGTGAGACGGCGCTGTGTGGCCAGGACCCTCCCTGCCCACCCCTCTATATGAAATGGGCACTCTCAGCATGTGTTGATGTCCACCATCCTAACCCAGTCTCTGGTGCAGCCTGTGCCCCTTTGTGACTCCATGAAGAGTGATGGCAACCTGGATCTGCGTGTCCACAGGGTTGAGGGCTGGGGTGGGGTGGGAGGCAGGCTCTGGTGGATTCTGCCTTCCACTGCCTGTCTGCGAGGACTCAGGTCTTTGTGCTCAGGGATCCGCCAGGTAGCGGAGCTGTGCAGGTGGGGATGAGCACGGCCCTCGCGGGCATGGTTGTGGAGCCCAGAGAGGTTCCTCATCTCTGACTCTAGCATGCATCCTAACATAGTTCTCCTGGGCTGCACTAGGGAAACCCAAGCAAGGGCTAACGACGGCAGGACGCTGATGTTTTTAACCTGTCGGTGTGTTTCTCCAGCTAGAGTCCTACAGTCCACCGAGAACACTGGCAGAGTCCTACTGCCCCACCTGCAGGCCTTCCTCGTGGCTCACACGGACCGCAGCAGCTCCCTGCCCCTTTCCATTCTAGTCCCTGGGAAGGGAGTCAGTCTTTTCTTCCTAAAGGCAAAACCTGAATGTGGTCGAAATCACTGTGCTCCACGGCAACTGGCCTTAACTTAGTCTTGTGATTAGAGCTGGAGGTCAGAGCCTGGGTAAGGGCGCGGGGGCCTGTCTCCGCACAATAGTCACAGAGTAACCGTCACGCTGTGTAAGATGGGGTGAGGACGCTGAGGAAACATTTGAGGGAAGGCAGGACCCCACTTGCTGCTCTCGGGGGGGGGGGGGGGGCAGAGGCGAGCTTCTCTGAGGATCCAGGGGACAGAGCCCGCTGCAGGCTGCCCATCACGCCCTGCCTCCACCGCCCTTGCCGCACATAGGAAGCTCCTTCTTCCTTGATGCCTCTCTAAGCACAAGCAAGCCAGCAATATGCCTGGGACATCTGAACAAGAAAACCTGGTTTTTGTTTTTTGAAAAAAGATTTTCAAAAAAACTTTTTTTTGAAAAATGTACCGGACTCCTGGATTTAAGATGACCTTTTTGTGCCGGTTTCCGACCCCTGCAGTGCCGCAGATGAGCAGGCCCAGTCCCGGGGAAGATGTAGCCTAAGGAGACCCTTTCCGGTTCCGCCCAAGGGCGGCCTCGCCTCTGCCAACAGCACGCTGCTGCCCTCTGGTGGCAGGAGCTAACTTCGCAGAGCTACTTGAGGTCTTTCTCAGTGGGCAAATTTAAGCGCTTATTTGGATAAACAAATATATTACATTTATAGAGGGGCCAGGGGGATAACTCAGTAGAATAGGAGCTTGTCTGGCAAGTGCAAGGGCCTGAGTTCAATCCCTGGTTCTGCAAAAAAACAAAACAAAAAACCCCAACCCTGTATAGATTGAATAGCCGAAGCAGTTTTAGGATGAAAACCCTCTCACCTCCCCCATGGCAAGGATCTCCTACCCCAGCAAGAACTGTAATCATCTTCACGCTCAGCATTCCACAATCCAGGCCATCGTCTGCACCAAGCTGGCCTTCTGCATGTAACGGGACACACTGCCCC